ATCACATTTCATACCATAATTGCAGTTTTTTTTTTTTTTGTATATCTTAACTATTCTAACATAACATTTTGTGTTGCATATCGTAAACCCAGAGCTGAGTGTACCTTACACAATAGGAAGTGTAATATCCATTGTAGTCCTGTGGAGGGAAGTCCATTTTTTTTATACTTTTAATATATTTTACACTGTCCTCTCAAGTGAAAACACACAACGATTAAAGCTGCAGTGGGTAATGTTTATAAAAAGTTAATTGTTTTACATATTTGTTAAAGCTGTCTCTAGAAATCTTGGCTCACATTTTATTGAACCGTTCGAAATCCTAAATTCATCTTTACAAACTGCGGCCTCTGGGGGCTCCTGTGTATTCGTACAAAACAGAAAAGCAAATGAAACGCTTTAACTCTAACAAACATAAATCCGTGTTATAATTAGAGACATATTTCACCTCACACGAAGCAATCACAATACATCGTATGACAACTTTTCCACTAATCCTCTTCATCAGTTGAACAAACTGCGACATAGAATTAAACGAACGGGGGGCGAGTCGCCCAATGAGGTTGAGACTAATCTTATTTTACAAGGAAACATAAATCCCCTTGGTGCCTGAATGCTCCTGCACTAATTCCCTGCAGTTTTAAAGGTTAAGAACCCCCAATAAATAAGCGGGGCACCACATTAAGTTTCTGATCAAGAGATGGATAGACGAGGCCCTTGAGCGCTGTTGGAATGTGTCATGTTGCATAAATTCCCCGACTAAACTGACAGCGATTACTCCCTAATTAGTCCGCAGAGACAAAGGAGACGTGACGAGGGTGAACCACTTCTGTCAATCGTATCGCAGCGGCGCTGTTGTGATGCTCGGAGTCGAAGCCTACTTGTGTCAAAAAAAAAAAAAAAAGTGACTCATTTGTGTCTTTGTGTCTGCTTTACAAAATACAATTTACTCAGTTTTGCTTAATTGACGGCATTTGGTGTTTGATTTTCGTGATTATAGTGTCGTTTTGGGGTTTTTGTTTAGGTAGGGGAAAGCTGTGCTTGGAGAAAATTATGGTTTAACTTATTGGGAGTATTCTACTTCCTTTATATGTGTTGGTGTAGAGGGTAAAGGGACCATCTGTGTTTCCATGCAGTGGCTTCTAATTAAACATTTAAGTGCTTTTGGGAGTCATGCTTTAATGTATTCTTTTTTTTCCTCTTATCCCTCCTGTTGTTTTCAATATTTGGAACCTGAAGAGATGACAGCAATGAATATAATAACATCTCAACCAAAACATTTTTTTTGTTTTCAGGCTTGGCTGCCCACAAACTAATCAAAATTTAGTGAATGTAATTTATTTTTGTTGGGATTTTATGTGACAGACTGCGACACACAGTCGTGCAAAAAAAAAAAAAAAATAATCACACAGTTTTCAAACTATTAAAATAAAGGAGAAGGAAATTGTTGTAACGTCAGTGACTCAATGTGATCGTAAATCTGCTTATTTGATTGGTTTAACATATATTTCTGTGTTTAAATCAGGTATTTTTTGCAAAGTGTTTTGAGAATATAAAACGGTGCTATTCGAGTAAACTGAATTGAAATAAAAATTAAATCCGAACAGTGTTGTTCGTTGCTGTTATACCCTCAGAATCAATACTTGAAATACTGCAAGTCATTCGGTTTCCATCCCCGCCATCTTTTTTTTTTTTTTTTTTTCTTTTTTTCTTATTTAAACTCAGTCAAATGAAAAGTGTGTGTGACCAGCAATCAACTGGATTTAGGTCTGGACTTTAACTGTTCTCATGTCCAGAACCAGCCTGTGTTTACATCCATACATCTTCCCGTCATCTTGGACCACCTTCTGTAAAAAAACAAAAAAAACAAACACATCCTGATAACATGATGCTGCCACCAACCTATGTCTCTACGGGAACGATGCGTTCAGGGTGATGATCACTGTCGGTTTTCTGCCGCACTTGTAGCTTTATATACACCAAAATAAATACATAAAAATAATTTTTTTATGCCCCCTTTATGGATTTCTTCCAGCGTTGGCTTTCTTCTTGCTTCTCCTCCAAAAAGGCAGAATGAATAATCCAACTGAGCTGCGCATCTTTGCAGCTCCTCCATAGGTAATATGCACCTCTTGGCTGCTTCTCTGACTAATGCTCTCCATTCATCGTCTGTCGATTTAGGTGGATCATCAGAGTATGACTGGGTTACAGTGATAATAAACTCTTTCCACTTATAGATGATGGATTGGACACGAGATGATTAAAGTTGTGGATGTTATTTTATAATCCTCTGATTAAGTTTATCCCTGTTCTGTCAGATGTGTTCGTTGATCAGCATTAATCATTTTGTTCACTAATGTGAGCTTAGACAGATCTTTGAAACAGTCTCACAACAACTATACAGTAAATATATTAAAACAAACACATGCGGATATTTATTAGTTTAGTGAATTTTAAAGGCAGATTTAAAGATGCATCACTGTAAAAGGAGTAAATACAAATTCAAACCATACTTTTCATATATTTAATTTTTATTTAAAAAAAAAGGTTAACTGTAACGTCATAAAAAATTAAAACACATTTTAATTTGTTTATTACGTTAAAAGAAAATAATATTTCTATTGTCCAAGTATTTATTTTCAAATTCCGTTGTAATTCTGAACATTTTACTTTAACACTATTTTTTATTTTTTGTCATGTTGGAAGTGGTTGAAACCGTCATTAGTATTTTAGATCCATCAAAAGCTGTTAATATTTTATCAAGAAAGTTAAACAGCAGCACGAAAGCGTCCCACTGTTAGAAGAGCTTCATCAGATTATATCTAATCATATGGTGGCGCTTTGTGATAAAGCATCAAAATTTGATTTCTTTGTCACTTTTTCCATTTGGCCTCAGCACATTGTTGGACTCCGCTTAATCAAATCAGCCCTTAATTAGTTTTTTTTTTTCTTAACCAATCTCCCAAATGCTTTGAGGAGTATCATAATTCAGATTTCAGCTTTGAAAACAAATATATTTTACTAATTAATTTGATTCTAATTTGCTTTCTCATTCATCTGCTGCGATGGATCTGCCTTCTTGGAGTCAGCCTAGTAAATGAAGGAAACCCAGGCACGCCGAGCCGAGACCCTCAGAATCTCATTAATGCGCTCACTCTCCTACATTTCCTCTGTCTCCCTGGTGGTGCTATCAGAGGAGTGAATCTGTGCGTCTTCCCTGCAGCTCTACATGAGCTCCATCTCCTCACCCCACACTGTCTGGCTAAAAACATGCAACCCACACCGAGGCGTTTCGCTCGCTGCTAGTCACTTAGCTGCGGTCAGACGGAAAATCCATACAAAGACTGGGAATAAAAAAAAAAAAAAAGAAGTGAGAGAATACCTTTAAACGCAGTGTAGCCCATTAGGTTTTGCAGGATGAAATCCACACAGACTCGCTCAGAAGGATGATGATTATTATCTCTCCTCTCATTTTCAGGGTCTGGTATGACCTTCTTTGTCCGTGCAACCTGGTGTGCTGCTGCCGCCGCTGCCAGGTTGAACTAGCCAGAGGGCACCGGGGGTCCGCAGAGGCCCTGTGATGGATGGTCGGCGCTCATTTATGGAAGAAAAAACTCTGCTCTGCAGAGTGTTTGGTTTTCTGCATGCTCCAGTACATGTGTATGTGTGTGTCTGCGAGAACTGACACAGGTAAAAGAGAGCAGGAGGTGAGGTGGGCCTTTGATTCTGAAGCGTGCCACAACCTTGACCTTGCTTCTGGGCAAAAAACAGGCCAAACTTTGTTTATATCTGGAAGAGAAAGCGAGAGAGCAAGAACTCAGCTGACAAGGTTTTAAAGGCCAGAGGATAGTCTAACCTTGGCAGAGAACAGACTGGACACCGGCCAGCCTCATCTTCACCTTAATCCCCACGCCTAATAAATCCTTCACCAGGCCCTGCAGAGACCGCAGCATATTTCACATCATGACCTGATCATTTTTCTGATAAGTTTTCACCATTACACCCCCAAAAGAGCTCGCTGAGAAACATCCCAGTGAAAGTTCAAAAAGGCGCAGCACTTCCTTCTTCTGACTGTGGGTGGCACTATTGAGCCAGTGTAGCTTGAGCGGCTGGATCCAGTCATCAATAGTCAGATGAAGACAGGGAAAAAAAAAAAAAAATCCTCCCCTGCTGAACAAAAGGGCAATTCACTCATAGTGGGTTCTTGATCCAGCTTCCTGCCTCCACCCACCCTGGAGGCTGTGATGGATGTGCTTTCCCGCATAGGTGGTTATGAAATGCTTAACAACGTGACATAACAACGCATAACAATAACAATTTCACTTCACACCATTCCTCAAATACCTCCACCGTTTAGGCTCTTTAGGTAAAGCAAATTAGCAACGAACAGCTACCAAAAAGAGATCGCAATTAACGACATGGAAAATATGAGGATGTAAAAATCAAAGATAGTTTACAGGACAATAAACATAAATAAAAAAAACCGAAGCATTAAAAACCTTTTAAGTGGATGCCTTTTATGAAAGCTTGATCGTTTCCTAAGCAGCTCATACTCGGTTAGATTTGATGGAGAGTGTCGACAGGCTTCACTTTTCAAGTTTGGCCACAAACTCTCATTCGGATTTGTGTCTGGACTTTGACTGAGCCATTCCAACACGTGAGTATGCTTTGATCTAAACCTCTGAATTTCAGCTCTGACAGTATGATTTGGGTTCTCCTGCAATCGTTACGATCTTCTGGATTACTTGGTTGAATATTAAATGGGTTCTGTGTGTTCCTTGTGTTGTTCAGTTGCTTCGAGTTGTGTGTTACGGTTCCACTGACCCTCGTTTCAATCGAGGAACTCCTGCGTTACATTGTAGTTTTTGATTCACTTCTAGCCATTGTTTTTCCTTGGCTCAGACTTTGCTTTGCGGCATCTTCTTCACTTTCATTTAATTAGTCCCAAATGTTTCTTTTACCAGTAATAATGTGTTTTTATACTCCCCAGATTATTCAAGTCATTGTGTTTCAACAGCTTGCTCTTCTCTCTTTAATGTAAATCCTTGGTTTTCTTAATGAAACATTCACAATTTCATCCTGCCTGACACATTGACCTTTTAGTCTCAGATCTTTTGTAGCTCATAGCAGATTGTTTTCCAGGATTCTTCTCTATTTATCTTCGTTTACCTTCCCATCAGGTCTGACAAACTCCTCAATCTAAGCTGAAGAAAAGCATCTCCACACATGATGCCGCTACCTCTGTGCTTCAGCTGAGACTCTTCTTATGGATTTCTGACCACAATGGCTTTTCTGAGTTAAAAAAAATAATTAAAAGTCAGCTTTATTTTAACAGTGCATTGTATCGAGCTGCACCTATTCTATGAAATGTTGCACATTAGTGAATATCAAAGGAACGCGTCGCCTGCTATAATTGTATAGATCCACCCTGGCGAGGAACACGTATGCATTATTAATAGTCACATATTACAGTATTCTGCGGGGGAAACGAACAAAGTTCTCCTGCACAGAAGAAATCAGACATGACAAATTTCTTGTTTGTCAAAGAGGCGAGTTCTCAGCGCTGACTAATAAAAAGCTGCAGAGAGAGCGAGGGAGAGGGAGAGCGGCAAGCTTTCTTTCCAAACAGGCAATTTTCCTTTTGCCTTAACCCTCACCATGACCCTACCTCTAACCTCCACCCTGTCCAATACCACAGACAAAGAGCACATATTTCATGTGTTCAATCATTGTCGCTGACATTATGGCCATTGGCGGGGCTGTCAGCTGTGACTATATACTGGCTAACCCTCAGGTCCCTGCAAACACAGCGACGGCAGCCCCCTCAGCCTCCCACGACGATAGCTGCCTGGGAAATAGAAGTACAGCCTCCCTGTGATCATTCCAGGAGCAATCCTGCCTAACAGCTCTGGGCTTTATGGCTCTGCTGCTTCTGGTGATTCACACTCTGTCATATAGTGCAAGCACAGCTACACCAACGGACAGATTCATGGGCGCACGCCGGCTTGCACATAAACACCTGCTCGCAAACACACATCGGCGAGGCTCACGTAAAGGTAAGCATACAAACCGGGCGGATTCCTGCTTACGCAGGGGAATACATGTCAGTTCTACAGATACAGACTCTGATGCATCAAAGCGTGTTATTATACAACGTGCAGACTACTTTTCATTGCCGGAATAGAAAAGAGTAATGCTTTCTTAACTTGGGTAGCAATAATGTAAGTTTGGGCAAAATCGTTGGGAAACAAGTTTCACCGAGAATAAAAAGCAATGAAGATTAAAACACATGTGAATATGAAAATGTAAATATATCAGGGTTTTTTTTCCTGGAGGCTGAATCTAACAGATGAGACAAGACACCAGCTGACTTTACTGACTATCTGAATTTTAGCCAGCTATATTGGTTCTTTAAACCAATATATTTGGATTAGCCAGTTATTTGTTGAAAGACTGATAATTATTTCCACTGGAATAGAGGTTGGAGATGGTGCACCACTAACGATCTTCTGCTGGTGAGAGTAAAATCTACAGTATTTCTGGTGAGAGTAGCCACACAGAAAAGTAAACCAGTGTAAAAGTCAATGAAACAGTGTTCATTTCAACCAGTATTACCTGTGGTTTTTACACAAATCAGTGACGACGACACCTATGGATTTCCTGTAAAAAATAATGCAAATATGATGATGACGACTTGAAGGTCTGAAGATCACGTTTGCCTGTGATATTCCAATTTGAATGTCAATTTAAAGAAGCAGAGTCCACGTTGGATTTCACACAAAATGTTAAAGGCCGATTTTCCAAACTACTGCCTTGCAGTGAGAAGGTTTTGGGTTTGATTCTGGGCTGCAGCCTGTCGGAGCGTCTACTTGTTCTGCTTTGGTTCACTCCAGGTGCTTCCTCTCACAAGTTGCCCTGTGATGGACTGACAAGCGGTGCAGGGCGTACCCTTCCTCTCGCTCTCTGGGGATATTCACCAGCTACACAAAAAGTTTGGGATGTCTGCATAATAGTAAAGAGTGAGAGCTGTCAAACAGACAGAGGAGAAAAGTGTATCAGAGCAATGTTTTGTCGTGAAGAGCAAATTGTTGGGAGTCCAGTTCACGCAGCTTTTGTCAAAAGGGTCGAACTTGTTTACCAGAGCGGCTGGATCTATAAAAAAAACAAAATTTACTCAAATGGGCTTGTGAAACAGATACATTAACAACATTAGACTTTGTAGTCAGTCGTGTTTCAGTCAGAAGATCAGTGTAAATAACCTGGCACTGATGTGTTGAATGAACCCAGGATGGGGTCAGGCCATGTTTGACCCAGCATCGCTCGTTATAACACTTTAACCCACACAGCAAACGCGTCTACTCGTCTCTGTCGTAGTCTAATCCTCTGATGAAACTGCAGGCACTTCACAACATGGAAGCAGTCTTTACTTCCCGATGGTTAACGTCGCCCCACCGCTGGCGTAGCATTTCGGTTGCCTGGGTAACCTCACATCGCCTTTAAGACCCCATTAAAATCAGCAGAGATGAAACACAAAAAAGCAGATCTAGTAAAATCCCTCTTAACCTTTACCAATCCTCTCCTCTTTCCTTCATCCTTCCATTTTCCGGCTTCACAGACAGCGACGCGAATTCGCCCTCACCCGCTCACCCTCACCAACCCGCTCATTTCCCTCTCTATTTTCTGTGCTCAGAGAGACCGATACAAGTTCTCACATCGTTCCTCCACCTTCGTAATCCCTTTCCCTTAGCTCAAGCCCTTCCACTTCCCCCACACGTTTCTCCCACATCTCACATTTTCAGTAATACAGTCCCTTCTACCTTGCGGCGATCTCTCCTCTCCCTTTTCATCACCACCTTCTCCTTCATCTCTAACCCTTCATATTCTCAGAGATGGCGAGGATGGGCCTTCCCTGTCTATCAGCTCCAGCTATGACCTTTTATTCCTCTCATCCTCTTCACTATCCCCACCTCATCCACCCGCTTGGCCGTCTCCCTTTGTTCTGCGTAAACAGTTGTATATTTTCACTAGAGTGCCGCTGATTGAAGTCCAGCCATGACTAGTGCATAGATTACCCGTTATCTCGTTCTGTGGATGAACGGTATCCTTCACTTTTTGTGTCTCGCTGGATGCCACTGAATGATGCATTGTGATCTGCAACATCAAACCCGTGCCGTTGAATTCATACATCTACATTATCCGGCTGCCCTTGGCATGTGTCAGTAGAGACTGCAGTTTACTGTCTGGTAGCGGGATGACACAGTCTTGCCCCGGCCACTGTCACATTGATGTACGACGGCAAATTACGGCGATGAAAACTTAACGCTACTACTGTTACCGTCCCATCGACTGCTTTTAATGCAAAGCAGGAGGGAGACGGGAAGAGGGATAGGGTAGGTGTGATGCATTGCACACTTTCGTGGATATGTTTTTTTGACTTACGAACCGTTCAGCCATTTCCATTCCTCCTGGAGGCCACTACAAGGTAAATTGGATGTATCTACAACTGTCAGAGTGCGGCTGCAGTTTGTGTGCGCGTCCGCTGGGATAATGGGGTAGCTGCTTGAGTGAACTTTCTTCTATCTCTCGGTGCATTTCTGCCGACAATGTCGGCGAGCAGAGTTTTGTCAGATGCTACGGCTTTGAGCGATGTGCAATTCTCAGCGCAATGACAGCAAAGACTGAAATGACTTTGAAGAGATGGAGGAGATGGCGAGAGAAGACAGAAACGGGGAAGGTAGTGGTATGAAGATATGAGGACAGGCCGACAGAGATGACAGGAAGTCGGGAGGCTGGGCGAAAATGGAAGGTGAGAGAAACAAGGGAGAGATTACAGAAAATACAGGAATGTAAGCCTAAAAAGACTAGAAGGTGTCGGTGATAAAGGATTACGACTCACGGAGGAGTTTGAAGAGAAGCAGGGGTCACTTCAAGCAAGCAGTTGCCTCCCTCGGTGTTCTTCCACTAAAAACACAGGCTTAAAAACAAAGTTTTAAAGTTCTTCACTGAAATCTAGTCGAACAAGTTGTAGCCTTTTTCCACAGTACAGGTTCAATAACATGAAACTCACTTTCTCATACCTGACTGATCCACTTGAAAAGCCTGTTAACCGACCAATCAATATAAGCAGCGCAATAAAGATCTTTTCATAGTTTTACCCTCTTCCTTCTGTGTTTAGCTTTGTCCATATCCTGGGCGAAGACGTTGACTGAGACATGGAAGCCGTCGCCTCTGAGTAGTTTATGTTATTCTTTCCTGTAGAAGGTACCCCTGGTTAAGAGTTGAGTATTTGACAGTTTTTCTCTCCTTGATGAACCCATTACCAGAACTATTACTCTATGGGCGTGCTCTCTCTCTCTCTCCCTGTTTTTCTTTTCTATAGAAAGTACCCCTACCTCAGTACTTCATTGTTTAGCAGTGTCTGTTTCCCTTATTTGTGTATTCTTTTTGCTTTTTCCTCCTGGTTTAGAGTATTTTTTGCTCCAGCCTGTCTGGGCTGGGTTTTTCTTTCTTGATCGTGTCATGTGAAACCCCCAGCAGGTTGTGTCATTTTTTAGCGATTGCCTCAAAGTCAATGACTCGGTGCCACCAAATGGGGTTCATTTGGTGGAGTTTTACCAAAGGGCATTACATGCTCTGCTGAAGTCGACTGTATTTAATTATAATTGATATCAATTTGCACCGCATCCAAGTAAGTGGATGTGAATCTAACTATATGATTGGATTGGAGTAATTTGGACTAATTTGTGCCAAACTGCACACCACATACTTCCCCAAAAAATCTAAATCTAAATCTTGTAAAGTGCCTACTGATATATATTATTAACTGGTGCTATAAGATACTGACATGAATTGAATTACTCATGTGTTGTTTGTCTAGTTATTTAAAAATACATACTTTTAAATGTTTTCTATGCCTTAAAAAACATTACATTGGGTCTTAATGCCACTGTTGACTCAAGAACTTTAAAAAAAGCTCCTGCAGCTCTTTTTCTTTGGCATCTGTGGTTCAAAATTGCGTTATTCAGTAAATGGTTCAGATTAGCCAGGAGAAAGCATGTCAAATTTTCTCCCTCAGAGGAAGAAAGCCAAGCTCTTTATCTTCATCACCAACTAAATCCAACTTCAAATCAAAGTGCTTTCAGTATTTGAAGTGAAAAGTCAAAACTCTTTTTGCTTTGTCAGTAACGGCAATTTCTTATCCGCAGCTGCATTGTTTGACTAAATTCTGAAAAACATTCAGAAAGCTATATGTGCAATGTTTTTGTTTGTGGCTATTTTCTCCTGCTGAAAATCAGAAATTACAGTTTTCCATTTTTTCTCTCAGCGCTAAAGAATCT